TAGGTTTATCTACTTTGGCATCTTCTTATAAAGGAACTGAAGATATTTGGATGTATCAGCAAACATGTGTTGTGCAGTATTGGAAAATTCACTGTCAGGAAGAATATGCTTTTAGAAATTATGAAATATATTTATAAATTTGCCAATCATAGAATGTTTAAGTAACAGGCAGTCCTCAATTGTTTACTTTTTAGTTTCTCTAGAAATTAAGGTTTCTAAGGGTTAAGAATGCTAATCTATATGTGTAATTTAAAATACTAGAAACAATAAGGGTAAAAGGAAACAACTGTGTATAAAAAGTAGGTTAAAAAAAAAGTAGGATGTATGTTTTGGATAAGAAGTATGAAAGACATGTTTTTGTTAAGGGAAAAGGAGTAATTTTGTTCTAAAATCAAATGACTGGGTATTCTAGAATGAGGAAGAGGAAAATACAGGAAGAAAACCTGAGTGGCTGAGTGGGTAGAAAGTTTCAGTAAACAGAATCTTGGGAAAGGAATTTTATGTGTTGTCAAGCTGGCTAAGATTAGGATGGATTTATTTATAAGTTTTTTAAAGAATGAGCTTTAACATCAAAAGTACAATGGTACAAGGACTTTCCTGGCAGTCCAGTGGTTAAGACTCCATGCTTCTGCTGCAGGGGGAAAGGATTCGATCCATGGTCAGGGAAGTGAGATCTAGCTTGCTTAGAGGTATGGCAAGAAATAAAGAAAGGGAAGGAAGGAAGGGAGGGAGGGAGGGAGGAGTACAATGGTGCAAAAATTAGTTTGGCTTTCTCTCCGTTAAAAAGAAAAAGTCTTTTGGACTATTGGTCTTCTCTTGATAAGAGATTGTGAAATGTTTTTCTTTACCTTTTGGGTAATCTGCCTGGAAAGCAAAGATTTTGTCTTACTGAAAAAATTGACTATGCCCCACATTGTCTTTATCAGGTCTTTGATTATGTGGGAGAACTGAGTCTTCTCAATGTGAAAAGAGCTATATTTTCATTCAGTTTTGTAACCTTCTGTATTTACCTTAAAAAATTTTTGATTGTCCCTTTGGTTAAATAGATAAGTATTGTTTCATATTGACTTGTGATCCTGTTTAATCAAATGTTCAAACTTTTTGACATTTTTGGCAGCTTCCCAAAATCAAAATCTAAATGGAATCTTTTTGACCTCAAACTGGTTTTGAAATTTCCCAGAGGGTCCTTAGAAAATCTCAAAAAATATTGTCTCTCACTTTGTAAAAGACATGTTAAAACAATAAGAGGTTTTTTTTGGTATGTTAAATTACATGGTAAACATTGTCAAATAAGAAATATTATGCTTTCTTAGGTTATATATGTATGGATATATGTTACTAATATAGATATTCTAGACTTGTTTGAACTTCACAGAAATTTGTCAACACCCTCATTGTCCAGTTATTATCTTAAATTGTCATATGGCACAAATTCATGTCATATGCTAATCCAGGATTATCCTTTTCCCTATTTTTCTAATGATATCTTAAATTTTATTGTCCACATGTTTTTTTTTTTTTTATATTCGTTCATTTAACAAATATTTATTGAGTGTCAATGTAGCAGTGACCAAGACAGATACGGTCCTTGTTTTCTGAGAGCTGACAATTCATGAGATTACTTTTGCTGGAAGCACCAGAAAAGGAGGGACAGACATTTCAGCTTGGCCTTGAACTATCCCAAGGCTTTGAACACGTGGAGATCTGGGTATCAGGAGGGCATTCAAGGTACAGGGGTAGCAGTGGACAGGAAATTAAAGCACAAAAAAACTGTGACACACATGGGGATTTTAAATTTTAAATTGTCCACATGTAATATTTTATAATTAGCATTTGCCTTTCCCATTTCTTAGTAGAAGAAACCTCTGGAACTTATGAAGTAGATAGTGGCAGAAAATTCATTTCAAAAATCTTTGAACTTGGCTTCCCTGGTGGCTCAGTGGTAAAGAATCCGCCTGCCAATGCAGGAAACACAAGTTCAATCCCTGGTTCGGGAAGATCCCACATGCTGTGGAGCAACTAAACCTGTGCACCTCAACTATTAAGCCTGTGCTCTAGAACTCACATACCGCAACTACTGAAGCCCGAGTGCCCTAGACCCTGTGCTCAGCAACAAGAGAAGCCACCACAATAAGAAGCCTGTGCACTGCAACAAAGAGTAGCTTAGCCTTCACTCACCGCAACTAGAAAAAAGCCCAAGCAGCAATGAAGACCCAATGCAGCCTAAAATAAAAAATTACAATAAAAAATCTTTAAACTACTTCAGAATTAATAAACAATAATAGTTTACTCTGAAACAACAAACTATTCCGTATTGTTCCTATCTTTAAATGAAATTTTAATTTTTATTTTATTTTGGTTTTTTTGGCCACATCACGTGGCTTATGGGATTTTAGTTCCCTGACCAGGGATTGAAGCCAGGCCCTTGGCAGTGAGAGCTCAGAATCCTAACCACTGGGATCACCCAGGAATTCTCTAAATAAAGTTTTTATAATTTGGGGTTTTACATTTTTGTTCTGTGAGCCATTTTTAATTCATGTTTTGTATATGGTGTGAGGTAAGGGTACTTTTTTTGTATATTGATGTCTGCTATAGACTGAATGTTTGTGTAACTACAAAATTTATCCAGTTGGATGGTATTTGGAAGCAGGGTCTTGGCAATTAAGCCATGCAAGTGGAGCTCTCATGAAGAATTAGTTTCATTATAAAAATGACTCCAGAAAGTTCCCTTGCCCCTTCTGTCATGTGAAGATATCTGGTTATGAACCAGGAATCTGACCCCTACTAGATACCAAATCTGCCAGCATCTTGATCATGGGTCCACACTCCAGAACTATGAAAAATTCCTGCCTGTGGTATCTTTGTTATAGCAGTCCAAACTGACCAAGATGACATACAGTTAGTTGTTCCAGTATCATTTGTTGAAAAGTCTTTCTCCACTGAATTCCTGTGGGTTCTTTTTTTTTCTGTGGGTCCTTTTTAAAACATGAATTGATGATATACATGTGGGTCTACTTTTGGACTGTGTCTTATTCCATCAATCTATATGTCTGTCCTTATGCCATATTACATAGTCTTGATTACTGTAGTTTTAGTTAGCCCTGAAATCAGGCAACAAGTCCTTCAACTGTGTTCTTCATTTTCAAAATATTTTGGCTATCCAGTGTCCTTTGCTTTTCCATATATTATAGATATTTATAGATAACTTTTGGAGAGAATTACCATATTAACACTATCAAGTCTTCTAATCCATGGATAGGGTATCTTTTTTTAACTCAGGGCTTCTGATTCAATCATAATTAATTAAGTATATGTCTCACATAATTTATTAAACATATGTGAATAAGAAAGTCCTCATTTGGAAAAAGCGACATACTACTGGGTTAAATTAAAATCCCTAACATTAAGAGTTTTTAATATTTTTAAGAGCACTGTTACAGTTTTTAGTTGGAATTGGTCTGGAATGGGAAGGGATATTTTCCTTTTGAAACTTAGTTGTGTAACCCTCTCTGAGTATGTGTGGACAAGTCCTTTGAATTTGTGAAGGAAACCAACCAGGAGACTTTTTAGAGAGAAAACTCACACTAAGAATGGTATATAAATTTAGATATGGCTTCCCTGAGGTACTGTGGTGTGTAGTTCAAATAATTATCACCTGTTTTATCCATAGATGTGTCTCAGGATACAATCCCCAGGGGACCCAAAATATATGAGTCCTGTAAGAGATAAGAAACTACTATAAGCAAATATAAAATGAACTAAAATGTTAATAACTATGTTGCTAAGAAATATGTAATATAATGGAGCCCAAACTGCCCTGGGGCAGTGCCACCAGGGTAGATACAACTCTGAAGTTGGGAGAGGGCGTTTACCCACATACCTATAGAAGTCAAATAGGGGCTTTGACCCTTTGGGGACTAAAGGGAACCAGAGGGGCTTTGTCACTATAAGGACTCCCTCATATCAATAGCTGTCAGCAGAGAGTACAGGGCCCAGCAGAGCAGGAATGCCCAGCAGCTATGGTAGTATCCAGAGAAGAGGGGCAGTCTCGTCTCAGCTGCTTAGACTTGTTCCTATGTATAGGTGAGACCTACCCTCAGCTGTCTCCTGAGTGTCTGACAAGGTTCAGAGTCCTACTGCTACAAAGTAGCTTTCCCAACACAGCTAACATATTCAGTACCTCATCTGATCCACTCAGCAGATTGTGAGGCAAGTTTTATTCCCATTTCACAGATGACAAGACTGACCTTTAGAGCACTGGATTTGTTGTAACTGTCAGGTTGATTCCTTTAGCTATGAGTCCTAGATGTAATGTTTTACTTATCATTTTACAGTCTGACAACAGGAATCTTCATTGCCCTCATAAGCTCACTGAACATTTCAATTTTTTTATCATGTATTGATTTCTAGGAATTTTTTTATTATGACAAACATCATTTAAGAAAAAGCAGAGATGAGTGAGCAAAGACAAGAAAAAGAATCACACATGTTGGGAGCCATAGGATGGTACAGGACCCAGGAGAAGGGCTGGCAGTGCCCACTGACATGGTTACAACTAAGGGAAGACATGGGGCTGGGCATACCTGTGGAGGAATGACATGGAGGTACCATCTAATGATTGGACTCATCTTTGAGTACAAGCAAGACCTATTTTCTGGCTACAATGTAGGAAAAAACTATCACCTAGTTTTTAGTTTTCATGGTTTTCTTCTGTGCACAAATGCATTATGCAAACATTTACTACTTTTACAAAGTGAAGTGTTAGTCACTCAGTCATGTCTGACTCTTTGCGATCCCATGGACTGTAGCCTACCAGGCTTCTCTGTCCATGGCATTTCCCAGGCAAGAATACTGGAGTGGGTGGCCATTTTCTCCTTCAGGGGATCTTCCAGACCTAGGGATCAAACCTAGGTCTCTTGCATTGCAGGCGAATTCTTTACAGTCTGAGCCACCAGGGAAGCCCTTTTACAAAACTGGTTTGATACTATACATTTGGTTCTGAAAAATGTTTTTTTATTGTTCTTTTTACAGTGTACCATGAACATCTCTTTCATGAACATGGGTGAAAACCCCCTACTGAAACATAGAGCACTGTAGTTGGAGCAAATGGCTGCTGGTAAGGACAGTGACACCTAAAGCAAAGTATCAGCTTGAGGATAAAGCACATAGCCTGGCAAGTGACTGCCAGGGAAAGCAGGGTCAGTGATATTCTCATCAAAGAAACCAGAATCAAATACCAAGGCATTAAAAATATGGGATATCATGTAAGCCCCTTTGGCTCCTCCCTCCTCCCCTCATTCCCTTGACACCTTCTTGCCCCCTTGGGGTGAATGGACCCTGTACATCTCTTTGTATCCAATGAAATCCACCCATTTTCTGTCTTTTCCTTAGCTCTTCAAGCTGAGCCCTTGACAGATCTCCACATTCTTTCAGCATCTCCTCAACTCCCAGATACCTTTCCTGTAAGTTGTCCTGATAGTCCTTGGGGGAATCCTCCATCGTCCTGTCCGTTTTTCTTTTTGCCTTCTGGGGCACATAATCTTCATCAGGGCGCTTTTCAGCAGCACACGACTGGCTCTCTGACTTTGCCTGGGACTCTGGCTTGCCCTTCTTGAGTGGGTTTCCCTCAGCTTCGAACTTGCCTTGCTTTTCTTTCTTCCCTTCATCTGCTGGTTGTCCCTCATCTGTGGTTTGTCTCTCATCGTCTGGCTGTCCCTCATTCTGGAGCCCTCACTCCTGTTCTGACTTTCCCCTCCACTTCCGGCTTTTCTTTCTCATCTGATTTTCCTCCATTTTCAGGCTCTACTTCATCTTCTGGCTTTCCCTCACTTTCCAACTTTCCTTCATTTTCATTTCAGTTTTTCCATATTGAGATGTCCCCTCCTTTTCCTGTCCTGGGAAATAAGGGTGGTGGTGAGGGGAGAAGAGACAAAGAGAAGACAAGGGAGACTGAGGGCTTGGGTGGCAGACGGGTCTGGACAGCACTGGCATCTCACCTGCGTCAGGGGTTCCCCTGACCTGGCCCGGCCTAGTTTGCCTTCTGCCTACCCTTTACCCCACCATTCCTCCTGCACTGAGAGCCAACCATTCCCTGGAAGGCCCTGCCACCTTGTACCATACTTTAGCATGGCGGGGAGGGTGTATATTATATCTGGTGGGGGGATGGGAAGTGGGGCCCTCAAATGCTACCCAAGCTGTGCCCCCCAGCCCCATGCCTGTCCAGTGCCCTCCCCTTTTTCACTGACCTGCAGGGATTCTGGCCAGGTTCCTCCTCCTTTTCTAGTCTTGCAGTGTTGGGAACAGACATGCAGACCTGCAGACAGACAGGAGACGGAGAGGGACTGCACAGTCCATGGACTGGGGTCCCTTTCCTGAATCTGGGCCCTCCTCATCCTACAATTTTTCCCCTACCTCTCCTGCATCCCAGCCACCATTACTTTTCAGGCCTCGGGCACCAGACCAGGATGCTTTCCAAACTATTTTGGATCTCTGTGTCTTCCTCATGCGCAAGCAACCCTCTGCCTCTCCACCCCTTTAGGTGAGGTCAGTTCTTTCCTCCTGGGCTCAGAGTGTGAAAAGGAATTATTTTCAGAACTTGTCTACGTTTCACCGTCGCACTGCAGGGACACCCCCCGCACACACACACAATTTCAGGCTCAAAAATGGGTGGAGGGCACAGAGGAGGGCCGTCGAGGAGGAGATGGGGCCACTTGCCCATGTTGTGCCTCACCATTCTCCTCATTCATCTCGGGACCCCCTCCTCCCTCCCCGTCTCTCCCCGCTGCTCCTGGATCCTAGTCCCATCAGCTTCCACCCCTGACCAGGACGCCAGCAGTGGCCACTTTCACACTGACCTGTGGGGCCCGGGCCAGGTCTGTGCCTCCTTGGGCTTGCCTAAGCCCTTTCGCTCTTCACCCGGGCAGCTCTGGGAACTGGTTCTGTGCGAGCAGGGCGAGCATGGGGGCTGCTCCCCACATTGGCGCCCAGCTAGTCATGTGAGCGTCGCGTCACCCCACTCCCTCGCCCCCAGCCCAGAGGGGCTCTGGAAGGTGAGGGCTGGCAGGGGTGGTGGTTGGAGAAGGAGGCATTACCGATAAAGCAGGAGTGGAGAGGCTTCCTGTCTGCAGGTGCTTTACCTGGAGCATCTCGGGTCCTCCCTCAGCATCCCTCTGAGATGCCCATTATCCCCAGTTGTGGCAGCTGATCACAGGGAAGGTACCAGATTTTGCCTAGAGCGCCACATAGCCCCACAGCCCGCTTTCAAGACTAGCTCCTCCTGACTCTAGAGCCCTGGTGCTGGTTCCACTAGGGAGCTGCGCTGCCACCTTGTGTAGCTGTGTCCTGAGCCTCAGCTCTTCTCAGTCCATGTGTTCTCTCTCCCTGACTCTGTCTGTTTTCCTGTACATCAGTTCAGTTCAGTTCAGTCGCTCTTCCCTGCCCTGAATCTCGACTCATTTTTGCTTTCCCACCAAAAATATAGGTGAGTGCTTATTTCCCCAGTTTTCAACATAATGTGACATAGTTTTTAATTTTCACTGATATGATAAATGAGTAGTAGTATATCCATGGCATTTTACTTTGCATTTCTGTTTAATAGCAAATTAAATATCATTGTGAATTGTCTGTTCATGTCTTTTCCACATCTTTTTCTTTTAAAAAAAAAAATATTTATTTTTATTCATTTGGCTGCACCATGTCTTAGTTGTGGCGTGTGGGATCTAGTTCCCTGACCAGGGATCAAACCTGGGCCCCCTGCATTCGGAACATGGACTCTTAGCCACTGAACCTCCAGGGAAGTTCCTTTTCTACATTCTTCTATTGGGTTATTGCTCCTTCAAACTTTTCAAGTGTTCTTTATACATTATATTAGGCCTCTATCTGTTATAAAATTTGCAAATATTTACTTACAACTTATTAGTTGCTTTTTGACTTTTTTATGATGTATTTCTGCCATGCATTAAAAAAAGTAGTCACATTTATCACATTTGTCTTTTATTGCATCTAGATTTTTGACTCATAGTTAAAAGCTCTTTTTCTACATGAGGTCAAAGAGGAATTCCTCATTTTCTTTTAGTACTCATATGGTTAACTGTATTTGTCTTAAGGGCATCTATGGTTAAGAAGTAAAAGTTAAGGAATAAACCAGTGTTAAGTGAGTTGAAGCTTTAGAAGACTCAAAGAACTAGAATAACAAAACTCAAAGCCCAAGTCTTATTAAAAGGGAAGGAGTTTCCTAGGAACTTCAAATGTTTCACTTTAAGGGTAATTATAAACTGGAAATAAACTAACCCTCACAAAGTCTTTTAGCTTGGCTTTGCAACATCTAGGTGGGCTAGGTAAAGTTTAATTTTTGAATATAGATTGTGGTGGTTTTAGACAGGAAGTGTCCTTATGGGCCTAACCAGTGCAAACAAAATCTTCTTTGGAGAAAGATTCCATCATCCTCAGCCTCAGTTTATTCCAACAAACACCTATTTAAGTACAATGCCCATACACAAAGATAACCAGAAAAACAAAGAAAAGAGACATCATAGATAAGAAGCACCATAGGCAATAGACAACACAAGCAGATCCATTAGCTTTGAATTATTCAAATTATCAGATACAGACTACCAAACCACAGTGCTTGGCATCATCAACTCAATGGACATGAGTTTGAGCAAACTCTGGGAGATAGTAAAGGGCAGGAAAGCCTGGCATGCTGCAGTCCATAGGGTTTCAAAGAGTTAGACATGACTGAGTGACTGAACAACAAAACCATGATGCTCAGTGTATTCAGATAAATAAAATCCAATCTTGAAAATTTCAACAGGGAACCAGAAAACCAAAAAAAAAGTAGAGAAAAAAGAAAACTCCAAAACTGAAAAATAACAAAGCTGAAATTAGAAATTCAGTGGATGGCTTTAACAGCAGATTAGATGCAACTCGAGAGAATTAAATAACTAGAAATTATATTCAGATGAAATTATCTGTAAGGCTGCACAGGTGGTCAAAAAGATGGAAAATACAGACAGGATGGTAGGATAAGGTCTAATACATGTTCAATTGGAATTCGAAAAGGAAAAGAGAAATGGAACTGTTCAGAGGCAATCTCTGAAGATTTAATGGCTGAGGATTTTTCAAAACTGATGAAAGACATTGATCCATAGATCTAAGAAGTCTAACAAATCCCAAACAAGATAAATAAAAAGAAGTCCATGCATAGAATACATAATAGTGAATTTACAGATAATTCAAGACAAAGAAAAAATCATAAAAATAGCCAAAAAGATAGAGTATGCCTCAAAAGGAACAAAACTTAGGCTAATTACTGGCTTTTCAATGGCAATGATGAAAGCATGAAGATGGTAAAGTGACATCTTTAGTATCTTGAAAGAAAGTAAATGCCAACCAAGAAAATAACCAGCAAAAATACCCTTGAAAAATGAAGGCAAAATAAAAGCTTTATAAATAAACCAAAACAAAGAGTTTCTAGCAGCAGTCAGAAACCAAAGGAAATACTCAATTCTATGGGACATTCTTCAGATAACAGGAAAATGATCTCAGATGGAAGACTGGGGATGAAGGAAGGAAAAGAAAGCAATTAAAAGGTTAAATATCTATCTATAAATCAATACTGCATAAAATAATATTATCTTGTTAATTTATACTGACAACACAGGAGTCAAGAGGACTAGAGTAAAAGTATTTAATGTTCTGGCATTATCTAAAGAGTATGTATAAGTATAAATTAATGTTAGCCTTTAGTAAGTCAAGACTGTATGCTATAATTACCAGATAACTATTAAGGAAGAGTAAGAGAGTAAAACTTCGAAGCTAATAGAGGGGCAAAAATAAGAAAATAATCAATCCTAAGGAAGAAAAAACTAAGATAAACCAGATGGGGTATAAGAGAAGGAATGTGGTACAATGGTTATATCCAATATCAATAGCAGTAAGTACATTAATGTAAATAGTTTACATGAAACAATTAAGAAACAAAGATTTTTGGACTGGAAAAACCCAACTATATACTATTTACAAAAGACATATAGGAAATGTCTGAAGATACATAAAGACTGAAAGTAAAAGCATAGGGAAAAAATAACATGAAAACACTAAGCAAAAGAAAGCCATTATAGTTAAATTAATAACAAAATAGACTTTAAAGCAAAAAGCATTATAAGACATAAGCATCACTTAATGATATTTAAAATTTCTATGCATTTATTAAACAGACCTCAAAATAAATAATATTAAATCTGACAGAACTACAAGGAGAAATAAAAAAGTACCTTCCATTTCAGTGTTAACACTCCTATCTCTATAACTGTAAATATTTAAAATGTTGAAAGGAAAAAAAAACACTAACCTAAAATTCTATACCCAGTGAAATAATCCTTCAAATGTGGAGGAGAAATAAAGACTTTCTCAGACAAACAAAAACTGATGGAATTCAGCATCAGCAAACCTTTCCTTCAGGAAATGGTAAAAGATTTTCTTCAGGCAGCAGAAAAATGGTGCAGGCCTACATAAAGGAAGAGCATTGAAAATGCAATGAATGAAAGTATAATGAAATCTTTTGTCTTATTCTTAGTTGACGTAAAACACAACTCTTTATCTAAAGTAATAAAATAACAGTGTATTGAATGATTGCAGGAAATGGATGAGTGAAATGAATAATGAACACTTAATGTACCTGTACTACATACAAGTGAGGCAGAACAATGTTATTTGAAAATGTTCTTAAAAATGTAAACTTGAGGGAAATCATTGAAAAATTTTAAAGAAATATAATTGATACACTGAGAGAAGACAAGTAGAATCATGTAAAATACTTAATTAAAACTAGAGAAGGCAGACTTCCCTGGTGGTCCAATGGCTAAGACTCCACACTCCCAATGCAGGAGGCATGGGTTTTATCCTTGATCAGGAATATAGATCCTACATGCTGCAACTAAACTGAAAGATCCCACATGTCATAACTAAGACCCGGTGCAGGCAAAAATAAACTAGAGAAGGCAGAAAAAGAAGCCTCTGGCAACAAATGGAAAACAGTTATAAACATGGTTGATACTAAATCCAAATATATTGAGTCATTTTAAATATGAATGGTCTAAATACATCAATTAAAGATTGAAGCTATCAGAGTGAATTTAAAAAAACCAACTATATGCTGTGTACAAGAAGCCCACTTTAAATATAAAGAGTGAGTGAAAGTGAAAGTTGCTCAGTCGTGTCCAACTCTTTTGAGACCCCATGGACTATATATGTCCGTGGAATTTTCCAGGCCAGAATACTGGAGTGGATAGCCTTTCCCTTGTCCAAGGGATATTCCCAACCCAGGGATTGAGCCTAGGTCTACCTGCATTACAGGTGGATTCTTAACCAGCTGAACCACAAGGGAAGCCCAAGAATACTGGAGTGGGTAGCCTATCCCTTCTACAGGGGATCTTCCCAACTCAGGAATCGAACTGGGGTCTCCTGCATTGCAGGTGAATTCTTTACCAACTGAGCTCTTAGGGAAGCCCTGATAAAGAGTGAGAAGTTAAAAGTAAAGCAACAGAGAAAGATCTGCACTAGTCAAAAAAAATCTGGACAAAAGAAGAAAGCTGGAGTACATAATTTCAGACAAAGCAGAACAAGGAAAATTATCAGAGATCAAAAGAGGCACTACATAATGATAAAGGGATCAATTCTGAGCAAAACATATAATAATCCTAACCATGTATATGTACATGACAAAAGTGTCAAAATATATGAAGCGAAAACTGATAGAGCTGAAAGGAGAAACAGACAAACCTATTATTATAGTTACAAACTTTAATGCCCCCAATCAGTAATTGACAGATTAAGCAAGCAGAGTATCAATAAGGGTCTAGCCAGAGAAGGAAATGGCAACCTACTCCAGTATTCTTGCCTGGAGAATTTCACTAACAGAGGAGCTTGGCAGGCTACAGTCCATGGGATCACAAAAAGTCAGACACGACTGAGCGACTAACACAGAGTCGATCTGAACAGCATTATTAATCAACTTGATTTAATTCACACTTATAGAACATTCCATTCAACATTCAAGCTTATATAGAACATGAGCTCAAGAGAGTCCATAAAACCCACCTTAACAAATTTAAAAGAATAGAAATCATAAAAGTATGCTCTCAGTAGACTTAAACTAGAAATCAACAACAGGATAGATGGTGAACCCAAATATTTGGAAATTAAGCAACACATTTCTAAATAACATGAGTCAAAGAAGAATTTTCAACAGAAATTTTAAAATGCTTTGAACTAAATGAAAATACAACATATCAAAATCTCTGGGGTAAAGCAACAGCAACGCTTAAAGGGAAATTTCTAGCTTAAACACATATATGGAAAAGAAGGCTATGCTTTCTTCTTAGGAAACTAAAGAAAGAAGAGTAATTTAAGCCTAGTGAAAGTGAAAGTGAATGTGACTCAGTCGTGTCCGACTCTGCGACCACATGGACTGTATAGTCCATGGAATTCTCCATGCCAGAATACCGGAGTGGGTAGCCTTTCCCTTCTCCAGGGGATCTTCCCAATCCAGGGATCAAACCCTAGAGCAAACAGGAAAAAAGAAATAACTAGAGACAAAATCAAAGGAAAGTGAAAACAGGAAAACAACAGAGGAAATCAACAAAACCAAAAGTTGGTTCTTTGAAAAGATAAAATTGTTAAATCTCTTATGAGGGTAACCAAGAAAACAAGAAAGACTCAAATTAACAATATCAGAAGTGAAAGTGGGGTTATCACTCCTGATCCCATGGACATTAAGAAGGTAATGAAGTTAATAACTACGAGAAACTCTGTGCCTGCCTACAAATTAGATAACTTAAGATGAAATGGACTAATTACTCAAAAGATACAAACTCCTAAAACTCACACAAGAGGAAAAAGATAACCTGAATAGTTCTGTATCTATTAAAGAAATTGAATCAATAATTAATAACCTTCCAAAGATAGAAATCACTAGCACCAAATTCTGCCAAACATTTAAGGATCACCAGTAAACATTTAGAAATCACCAGTGAATTCTACCAAACGTTTAAGTTAGAAATAATACCAATTCTCCACAATCTCTTCCATAAAACTGAAGTAGAGAACACCTGACTCATTCTGTGAGACCAATATTACCCTAATTCCAAAACCAGATAAAAGATACTACAAGAAAGGAAAACTACAGACCAATATCACTAATGGACACAGACACATATCCTCAACAAAGTATTATAAACTGAATCCAAAAATGTATAAAAAGTTATGTGCCAAACAACTGAAATTTATTCCAGGTATTCAAGGTTGATTCAACATTTGAAAATCAATTGATGTAACCCACTACATGTTAACAGACTAAAAAAGAAAAAATATATGATATTATTTAATACAGAAAAAGTATTTGACAGACTCCAACAACCATTTATGATAAATGCTTTCAAGCTGGGAGTAGAGGGGAACTTCCTCAATTTGATAAAGAATATCTACATGGTGACTGAACAACAAAAACTACAAGAAACTAACATTATACTTAGTGATGAAAAAGGAGACACTTCACCTGGAGTGTCAGGAACAGGACAAGGATGTCCTTTCTCATTGCTCCTATTGAACATCATACTGGAAGTCCTAGCTAGTGCATTAAGGCAAAAAAGGAAATAAAAAGTGTACAGATTAGAACTGAGGAAATAAATCTATATATTTGCAGACGAAATGACGGTCTATGTAGAAAATGCCAAACCATTGACAGATTCCTGGTCACAAGATCACAGGATATAAGTTAATATATAAATTTAATTGCTTTCCTATATACCAGCAACGAACAACTGGAATTTGATATTTAAAAGTGCATTTATAACAACATTCCCACAACACAGAATCTGACAAAAGACTCTTAAGTATATCACAAATGCATGAAACCTCACTGAAAAGGATGGAAGAATGACACTGATATAGGTAACTTTGGAAATGAGTGGAGTCTGTTAAGACTAAAGACAAAATTTTCTCTCTATATATTTTAAAACATATAAAGATGTATAATGTACATACATATATATATATATATATGGAGAGAGACAGAAAGAGATGCATATAGATCTTCTTTCTTTATCAACTGAAAGGGCCTAGAAGCAATGATATCCAAATGGTAGGGTGTACACTTAACATCTAAATCTTGGCTTTTAGTACCATTCTCCAACCAAAGGTACCAGAGTCCCTTGGAGAAATGGTTGATTCTAGGATTTGGGCAGGAAATATGCAAGATATGACTAGACCATTTTGTAGTGCCAGAAAGTTTTATAAAAACACACACACACGTACACAATGATGGGGGTATGTTAAATAGATGCAAGAGCCAACTCAAAGAACTTCCAATGGCCAAAAGTGGAAAAATTTGAGTGGAAAAATATATGTAGTAGTATTATAGTCCAAAGTATATTAAATAAATAGGGAGAAATCAAATATGCAGAATTCCAAATAAATGTTGGAGATACTTCATCTTCAATGAGATTGAACATAACACTGCAGTCTTTTAAGTGTAGACTGTGCGGAGTGACTTTCTTCCAAAGAGTATAGTCTAGAAAGGGAGAAATAAAAGAGTAACTTTACCATGTAGAATCCTGAGACCACTACTTCAGCCAGGTGACCAACATTAACATCAACAGTGATAATATTGATAGTATATACCCTTTATATGATGCAATTTTGCCTGTGTGATCCTCTTCCCAAAAAAGCACTTAACACACCTCTCTAACCATAAGCGAAAAATCAAGCAAACTGAAATTGCGGTACACTATACAAAGTACCTGACCAGTGCTTCTCAAGAGTGTCAAGACATCAGAAACAGGGAAAGTGTGAGAAACTGTCACAGCCAAGAGGAACCTAAGGAGACATGATGACTAATTGTAAGATGATAACCTGGATGGGATCCTGGGACAGAAAAAAGACATTAAGGAAAAACTGAGGTACTCTGAATAAAGAATGTATCTTGGTTAAAGATAATGTATCAACATTGGTTCATTGTGACAAACACTTCAAGCTAAAAAGTAACGATGTTAATAACAAGTATGGGGTATATGGAAACTGCATCTTTGTAATAATTCTGTAAATATACAACTGGTCTAAAAGTTTAAAGAAACACTATAAGCAAATAAAAGGCTAATGAAGAGCCAGAGGGGAAAAAAATCACATAGGTAGATGGGTCTGCTGAAATGATAAGCCAGTGCTTAACAGGAATTTCCTAGGAGACAACTTCTAAGAAAAAAAGAGTCAGCAGACATGAGATTAACAGGTGAGAACAGCATAGCATCTGGTCACAGATTTTTCTCCTGGTTCAATCTCCAGTATCTAAATCCAGTGCAGATGGCTGTATGCAGAAACACACACAAACCAACAAAATACTTGGAAAGGTATGTTTTATAAGAACTTTATAAATAGCAAGACCCAAGTGACAACTGGGTGCTACCCAGGTGAGTTAGGGTAACTTTACTATAGAGAATTGTCCACCTTTCAGTAGTGACACGGTATTGCTTTAGACCCATCATGGTCTCCAGCCCATCAGCCCAGCAGTGGGAGCCTTAGGAGGGTACAGTACCCACAAGCAGAGGCATACCACCAAAAGTCATGACATTACCCCAGCTGGAGAGGGCCACCCACCTCACAGCTATCTGGACTTATTCCTGCACACACTTGAAACCTCCTCAGGCCTCTCCAAAACATCTGATGGGGCTCTGGCCCTGCTAGTGCAGGGGAGAGGGTGGGAAGCAGCTCACATACTCAGCATCTTATTGAATATTCTCCACAGCCCTGGAAGGCAAGTTTTATCCCCAATTCACTGATGCCAAGAGTCTCCCTTACAACAATGGATCTGTAATAACTGCCAAGTTGATTCTTGCACCTTTGAGTCCCAGAGGTAATGTGACTTTTACTTAGTTCACATCCTGGCAACACAAATTTTATGTGTCTCCACTGCCTTCAGAAGGCACTTCAGTGAATAATACTTGATTGCTTGGTATTGCTTTCCTATTTTTTATCTTTCATTATTGCTATGATAAAAAGTAATCTGTGTTTTAAGAGAATATAAACAGATGAACAAAAAAACAGAAAAAAAATCAGCCACAGATAACCACTGTTGATTTTTAGTAGACAGTTTTCAGTTTTTCCTGTACATGGATCACTAGTAAAGTATCTTTGTAGTTTTACAAAAATGGACTGATGCCATATATATGGTTCTGAAAACTATTTTTGTTTTTAATTTTACAATGCACCATAAACATTTTTCCATGCAATGAATGAAAATCTGCTACCGAAACACAGAGGGCTGCAGTTGAATAATGAGAGCGACACCTAAAGTATAGGATTAGCATAAGGTTAAATAAAGCACAAGGCCTGGGAAATGCCTGCCAGAGGCACTACACAAAAGGAATGTCCTCAAAGCCCCTTTGCGGAGCCCTACAGCCACCCCTGAGTTCCCTTGGGCCCCGTGGGTGGAAGGGGTCCTGTAAACTTTTTTGCATCCACATAAACCCCCCCAATTTCTGTCTGGTTTTCTTCACCTCATCCTCTACCCTGGCCATCTCATCAAATTCTCTTATCATCTCTTCATTGCTCAAATGCATATCATGTATGGCCTCCTTGTATTCCTTGAGACACTGAGCCAGCCCCTTGTTGGTTTTTCTTTTGGCCTTCCTGGGTACATCCTCCCCAGCTGGGCGCTTTCCGCCAGCCCTTAGTTCCCTTGGTTCGCTGGCTGGCTTGTCTTCTTTTGGTTTTCCCTCACTCACTGGCTTTCCTTCACTCTCTGGCTTCCCCTCACTCTCTGCTTTTCTTTCTTTTGCTTTTTCCTCACTCACTGGCTTTCCTTCACTCTCTGGCTTCCCCTCACTCTCTGCTTTTCTTTCTTTTGCTTTTCCTCACTCACTGGCATTCCCTGGCTCTCTGGGTTTCCTTCTTTTGGCTTTGTCTCATTCTCTGGCCTTTCCTTAACCTTTAATACTTCCTCATCTGTCTTTCCCTTGTGATCTGTCCTTCCCTTGTTTTCTAACATTTCTTTGTCTTCCTTAGTAGTAGCTGCTCCTGGTTTTCCTGCATCCAGTGGCTGTTCTTTGTTTTCCATCTTGCCTTGGTTCTCAGGCTTTGCTTCATTTTCACTGCAGAGTTTTTCCATGTTGAGTGTCCCCTCCTTTTCCTGTCCTGGGAGTGGGGCGGGGGAAGAGAAGACAAAGACGAGACAAGAGAGACTGAGGTTTTGGGGGTGAAATGCAGGTCCGGATAGTAGTAGTCATTTCTTGCCGTTTGTCAGGGATCTCCTGACCTGGCCTGGCCCTCCAAGAATGCCTTTTGCCCACCCTTTACCCCACCATTCCTCGTGCACATGTGAGACAACACTTCCCTGGCAGGCCCTGCCATTTTTCCCTATGCTTGCTCAGCGCGGCAGTGTGTAAATGTGTTGGGAAGTGGGCAGTGGGGCCTCCAATTCTTCGCGGGCGGTCCCTCCACACTCCCCACCCCTCAGGGTCCCTGTCCAGTGCCCTCCTCCTTCACTGACCTGCGGGGATTCTGGACAGGTTCCTCCTCTTTCTATAGCCCAGTAGAGAGCTGGGAACAACAGACACGTAGACCTGCAGACAGACAGGAGACCGGGGATGCGCATCGGTGAATGCACAGGGACTCGGGTCCCTTTCCAGAATCCCTGCCCTCCTCACCCAACGTTTCCCTCCCTCCACCTCCTCCGCCCCATGCACCCCAGCCGCCATTTCTTTTCACGCCTCGGGCGCCAGACCAGGATGTTTTCCAAACTAATTTTGGATCTCTGCGTCCTTCTCTCCCAAAGGCAACTAGCCTCCCCACCCTTGAGGTCAACTTTCTACTCCACGCACAGAGTGGCAGAGAGGATTTATTTCCACTGCCTCACTGCTGGGGCGCCCCCTAGCTCACAATCTCCGGCTCCAAAATGGACGGAAGGCAGAGAAGAAGATGTGTAGAGAAAGGGGAATGGGTACTTGGGGTGTCCGCTTTCCCCTCCCTCCGCCCAATGGCCGCTTGCTCCCCCTTAGCCGTTTTCCCACCGCCATCACTAGCTACAGTCTGGCCAGCTCCCCTCGACCAGAACCCCATCCCCAACCTTTCTCCTTTCCGCGCCCGTTCCTCCTCCCCCATTCCGGTGTCCCACAGGCAGCGACGAGAACCCTCACACTGACCTGAAAGAACCAGGAGCAAAAACTAGGGGCTCGCAGACGGCTCCGGGTCCGACAGGACCGACGGAGGGCCAGTACCCGTACCGGTGTCCACTTCTGGGCCCAGCGGTCACGTGAGCGTCGCGTCACCCGAGCTCCGCCCCCGCACCCCGCCCACCAGCCGGCGTCTGCGAGCCGCCCACCGCCTCCCTCCGGCAGGTGCCTCTTAACCTCTCTGGGCCCTTTTGTCCTTTTCCTCTTCTTGAGAAGTTGGTCAAAGAAATAATTTTAGTAAAAATCACAGAGGTGGGGACTTACCTGGCAGTCCAGTGGTTAGCTCTCAGCGCTTCCACTGCAGCGGGCACGGGTTCTATCCGCGGTGGGAGAACTAAGATCCCACATGCTGCCTGGCGCCACCAAAACAAAACAAAACCTCAGAGGCTTTTTTTTTTTTTTTTTAATGGTTTGGGCAGTCTGGGGGAGGAGTCTTAACTTTGCTCTTAAACTCCATTGAAAGAGCATAGACTTACAAATGAAATCCTATGACTGTGAACTTTAATATTGTACAAAGAGTAGAATATTGCACTTTTAGGAAAAAATGTTACCGTCAAAGTGAAATTGTCCCTTTTTCCTGGTATGCAAAACGTAAGTTTTCTAATCAATTAAATATTTAGATCTGAAAATGAATTTATATTTGAAACAAATGAAAGAATGATTTTTATTTTTAAGTGAGAGACTGAATACACGGACGATGACCAGATGACAATAGAATTGTAACCCACAACCTCTGTAGCAAGGAGCCCCACAAGCCAAACCACAGCCTCTACAGCAATCTTCTGGACTTGATCAATGACTACCAGCCTTCCTATTTTTGCCCTGCTGCTAACTAGAGAAATCTAAATATGCTCCCCAAACCAATCACATAAAATACCTCTGGCTCACCAGCATTTCACTGCCAACAACTTCCAATCAGAGAAAATATGGTCTTCGTTTTTTTCACTTTCAAGTTTTCCCATTGCCCTGCCTATCTTTAAGTCTCAGCCAAACACAAGTTAGGGTGGTTAACTCCCTTGTTATAACAAGCTCTTAATAACTAGCTTCTGCTTCCTACATAAGCTTTTTGTGTAGAAGGTCTTTAAAAACATAATAACTGAAAGTTGAACAATTAAGAACAGGATTGATGGATTTGATTACATAAAAACGTAAGAGATTGGGGACACATGCATTTCTCTCTGCTCTTTTTTCTAAATTTTTTTTATTGAAGTATAGTTGCATTAAAACATTGTGTTAATTGTTGCTATACACCAAAGTGACTGTTATGTATACATGTACATTCTTCTTCATATTCTTTTCCATTATGGTTTATCACAGGGTATTGAATATAGTTCCCTGTGCTATACAGTAGCACCTTGTTTATGCATTCTATATATATCAGTTTACATCTACTAACCCCAAATTCCTGCTGCTATCCTCTCCCACCTCCCTCCCACCCCCGACCCCTCCCTGCTCTTGTAGAGTGTACTGGTAAAAATTTTCTGCAGGGCAATTTTGTAAATTGTTTAAAAATAAAAATATTTGATATTTTGGTTCAGCAATTCCAACTTGAATATTTACCCATGGGGATAATTAATAAAATGCCAAAATAGAATCTTGTGTTTTAATGTTTTAAAATTCCCATACCAATTATTTATTATGCATTTATCCTTTGCTGGAATTGGGGCTACAGTAGTGATTCTATAGGCTTTGTTTACAATGGGAAAAAAAGGAACATCACAGTTGTCCATCAGTACAGATATAGTTGTCTATCCCTTTGCCAGGGGGTCTTCCCCACTCAGGAATCAACCAGGGTTACATAATCTTCTTAGTATATTTGCTTACCCTGGTTATCTTTGGACATTTGGTTAGAAAAATAATCCTTTTATGTTGGGTGCTCAAAATGCAGTAAAAATAATTATTAACAATCCATAACCTGAAATTACTGTGGATGGTGTGACCCAAAGGATAACCACAGGATGTGGTATTGACCTGTGGAGCAGCAGTCCCCAAATTTTTTGGCGACAGGGACTGGTTTTGTGGAAGATAATTTTTCCATGGGCCCTGACTGGGACTGGTTTGGGAGTGAATCTCATAAGGAGGGCACAACCTAGATCTCTTTCATGCACAGTTCACAGTGGGGTTTGCACTCCTGTGAGAATCTACTGCCGCCACTGACATAACCAGAGGTGAAGCTCAGGCGGTGATGTGAGCTATGGGGAGCAGCTGTAGGTACAAATGAAGATTCCCTCACTCATCTGCTATTCACCCCCTGCTGTTCGGCCCATTCATAACAGGCCACAGACCAGTACTGGTCCATGGCCCAGGGGGTTGGGGACCCTTGCTCTAGAGAATACCACCTATGTGCTAGGCACTGTGCTAGTTACCTTGTGTTATCTGGTGTGGATTTCATTTATACTTGATGGAAAAACTCATACTTCAGTGAAGCAGAATGATATACAAAGCTACAAGCTTAACTCACTGTAGTACTGAAATAAAGACAGTAAGAGGAACAAAACATCTCCAAGTATAAAAGTTTTTAGTATATGATAAAGAAGCATTTCTGTTCAGTAGTAAGGTATAGGTTATTATGGAAAGTAAATTTGTATAATTAAATAGTTAAAGAAGATGAAGAGCCTTATTTTCTGACAAACACTCAAAATTCTTTTCAGATTAGGCAAGAAAAATAAAATGAAAAGTTTCTAGATTGGAAGGGAAGAAGTAAAACTACCTCTATTTACAAATGATATGATCATACATATAGAAAATCCCAAGGAATTCACTAAAGAACTATGAGAATGAAAGAGTTCAGCAATGTGGCAGAAATACAAGATCAATAAACAAAAATTGAGTGTGTTTCTATATACTAGCAATGAGTAATTCAAAGAGGAAAGAAAAGTAGCATTTCCCTCTAAAATATCATCAAAAAGAATAAAATACTTAGAAATAAAATTTGAAAGTCCAAGAATTTTATACTGAAGACTATAAAACATTATTGAACAAAATTAAAGAATACATGAATAAATGGAAAGTTATCCTATTTCATAGATTGGTAGACTTCGTATCTTTAAGATGGGCAATATTTCCTAAATTGATCTGCAGGCACAACACAACCTCTGTCAAAATATCAGATGGTTTCTCTGCAGATTTTGACAAGCTGATGCCAAAATTCATACAGAAATGCAATGAACTCAGAATAGACAAAAATAATCTTGAAAGATAAGGATAAAGTTTGAGGTCTCACACTTTCAAGTTTCAAAACTTAACCATAGATCTACAGGAATCAAGACAATGTGGCACTGGCAGAAGGATATACAGACCAACAGAATTGAGAATACATAAATAAAGCCTCAGATTTACAATCAATTGGTTTTCAGCCAGAATGCCAAGAAAGTTTAGTGCTTAAAGAAGAGTCTTTTTAGCAAATGATGGTGAGACAACTAGATATCCACATGCAAAAATGAATTTGTACTCCCACACCACACTGTATACAGAACTTAAAATAAATGAAGTCCTAAATATAGGAGTTAAAACTATTAAACTCTTAGGAGAAAATAAAGATGTAACTCTTCATGATCTTGGATTAAGCGATGATTTCTTCAATATGACACTAAAAGTTCAAGTAATAAAAGAAATATAGAAAAATGGGGCCTCACCAAAATGGAAAACTTTTAAATTTAAACAATACAATTAATAAAGTGAAAACACAATCCACAGAAAATTTTTGAAAGTAATATGCCTGATAAGGGACTTATATCTAGAATATACAAAAAGCACTTACAACTCGAATAAAAATAGGCAGGGAATTCCCTGGTTGTCCAGTAGTTAATACTGTGTTTACTTTCACTGCCAAGGCCATGGGTTCAGTCCCTGGTTGGAACTTAGATCCCACAAGCCTCGTGGTGCAATGAATAAATAAATAAATAGAAATGGTCAAAGATCTGAATAGATATTTCAGCAAAGAAAATGTATAGAAAACCAATAATCATGATGTTCAACATTATTAGCTGCCAGGGTAATGCAAATCAAAACCACAATGAGATACCACTTCATATCCATATAGTAAAAAGGCAGATAATAACAAGCATTTGTAAATATGTGGAGAAATAAGAACCATCACTCAATGATGGTGGGAATGGAAAATGGTGTACCACTGTAGAAAACAGGCTGTCTGGCAGTTTCTCAAAATGTTAAACATTAAGTTATTGTATGATTTGACAATTCCACTTCTAGATAAATGGGAAAATATCACACAAAACTTATATGCAAATGTCCTTGGCAGCATTACTCATAATAATTAAAAGGTGGAAATATCCCTAATGTTCATGATCTGATGAATGGATAAAAAAAATGTGCTATAATAATGGAATACTATTTTTCAGTAAAAATGGAATAAAGAGCTGATACATGCTAACGGGCCCATGAAAAAATACTTAACCTCACTAATCATCAGAGAATTACAAATCAAAACAACAATGAGGTATCATCTCACCTGTCAGAATGGCTATTATTAAAAAGACAACAAATAACAAGTGTTGTCAAGGATGTGAAGAAAAGGGAGCCCTCATGCACAGTTGGCAGGGATGTAAATTGGTGCAGCCACTATGAAAAGGGCTTCCCAGGTGGCTCAGTGGTAAATAATTTGCCTGCCAGTGCAGGAGATGCAGGAGATGTGGATTCAATCTCTGAGTCGGGAAGATCCCATGAAGGAGGAAATGGCAACTCACTCCAGTATTCTTGCCTGGGAAACAGAGGAGCCTGGTGGGCTACAGTCCCTGAGGTCCCAAAGAGTCAGACACGACTGAGCATGCATCCACTATGGAAAACACTATAGAGATTCCTCAAAATATTAAAAATAGAACTACCATATGATCCAGCAATTCCACTTCTGGGTATTTATCTGAAGAAAACAAAAACATCAATTAGAAAAAATATATGCACCCATATGTTCATTGCAGCATTCTTTACAATAGGCAAGATAGGGAAGAAAACAAAGTGCCCATCAATAGATGAATGGATAGAGAAGATGTGATATATAATGGAATATTACTCAGCCATGAAAAAAGAATGAATTCTTACCATTTATAGCAACATGATTTGATCTA